AGAATTACAAAGAGGGACTTCAATTTTTCTTTTTTTTTTTAAAACGTATTGTCACAAATTTTCTGATTTTCTGTCTTATCAAGAGGAAATTTTTCAGTCTAATTTTTCTTTGTTCTTTTATTCTGAATTTACGACGGCTGAAATTGGAGCAGTAAGGAAGTTGGGAAGCTGTGATTACATCAAATTTTAACACGATCATGCTACTAATCTAATTTGACTACTCGACGTCTGTGTGCAGTTGAACCAAGAAGATCAGTTTTGTAGTAGATTTTGTTCAATTTATATTTCTGCTTTATCTTCCCCTGGATTCATCGCAGCATTTGTAACCCGCATTTCCACACAAGTTTATCTCTGTTGTGACTGCAGACAAAATTCTAAAATTTAAAAGGTTGCTCTCGTCAGCTTCTCTCCTACAGAGTCCTATGGGACCTCCCTACTACTCTCTCTACTGTAAGCTCAACCAGTCCTTGAACCTACAGCACCAACCTATAGTTACCTCGATACCTTACTCCTTGCTTAAGACTCCTTTTAGTCCTCAGTCCTCCACGTACTGCCTCGCCTTGGATAGATGCGAACTCTCGTGTTTAGGAAGATTGCTACTCAGTTGTAGTATACCTACCAAAATCTATATACAGGAGGTAATGCTTAATTACTACGCGTGCAGTATTACGCTTACTACTAACTAGTTTATTACTCGCAAACTAGATTATACAACAAATAAGAGATACTACTTGAAGCGATTCAAATCCTATCATACACAATAATGTAATATAAGAAGCAAAGAATCCTTTACAAAAAAAAGGTAACAAGCACACTTCTAACTGCCTATGGGCACGTTACAAGGAAAGGCTTTATGAAAAACCTTCGACAATCAACTAGACTTGATTGTAATGAAAAACACTAAAGTTAGCTAGTTGTCACTCTCTATTTACACCCATCCCACCAGTGGCGTGACCTAGGTAGTGTGCTTCTTCGAGAGCGTCCTCTCAGGGAGCATAATCCCGTCGACCACTCACTATAATAAGTGCCGTTTCGCGCATGGTTGCGACAATCTCTGTGGAATCATATCTGTTTCAAAAAGCAGAATTTCCTAAACAAATTGGTTTTTAGGTATATGATTTGTTGTACTCTATTGTAAAACCTGTGTTTTGAAAAATTTTAGTTATTTTTTTAAAACATCTATCAAGAGCAAATTATTTCTGAACAAGAAAAACTTAATGCAAAAAGAAAATGCGCGAAAATATGAAAATTTACAATCAACAAAATGCAATTACATGCATTAAATGTATTTCTTTACTGTACAAGATTTGATTTTCCTTAAATTAATCACAGATTTACTTTCCAAACTCATCGTTCGGTATTACACAGAACTGCTCCATATTACAGTAATTTGCTTTGCACTCATCTCAAACGCAAAGTTCGATGGCAAGTTTCTAGTTTTCCTTCAGCATTCTGGAACAGAGGTCGCGTAAATACATTAGCTGAATCCTTGCCAAAGTTTTAAGACTCCATCTGTATCGGACGCTGCATTCGCCTCTTCCTTTTCTTCCGTTTGTAATTTTTCTCTTGTAAGCTATGGAGCATGCGCGTACTGTTGTTGTAATAAATAGGTCTTTCTTGCTACTTTGTAGGGCTCTACTGAAGCAATGACAATTCGCAAAAATTGACTGCCGTAAATAGTTGAAGGAACGAAATCTGAGAAGTTTTATTCACATATACAACTTTAGACAACAATTTTTGACTAACAGATTGAAGAACTTGCGCTTTCAACGGCGCAAAGATATGTACTTTAATTCATTATTACCCTTAAAAAATATATGTACATGAGATTAGACTTTTTCAGGCTGGTAGACGTTTGAGTACAGTATTTCATTTGATAATACGTATAAACTTTCTTCTTTTTATATCCGAATAAATTATGGTTCAAGAAATTGTGTTGGCTGCTTTTAAAAAAGATACTGGTGACTGCATCTAAACATCTAAACCATTCATTGAGCATTATGCTGGGAGATAGTCTGATTGAGGTAGACCAATCAACGTAACATTTCTGACGTTTCCAAAGTGCCGTTAAAATGTGAACAAAGGAGGTTTTGCAGTTGACAATGCAGAGTTTGGAATGTCGGTCTTTGTTGTTCACCTTTCTGCCAGCAAGGTAACAGAATTTGGTTATAAATTGTTGCAGTACAATACTGAGGTATGTTCAGATATACCTGCAAATGATGATTATATCAACTTTTCGAGTAGAAAAGCTATATTGTTGTACAGTCAGAGAAGTTTGATTTATAGAGTGCTCTTTTTATTAATTTTAGTTAATGTGACAGTGTTACCTTAAGTCGTCCAGTTTGATGAATAGTCTGCAGATTTTCAATGACTTGTTGATCCTGCAACTCCTCATATGGTTGTTTACGGCACCCGTTCAAAACTTCCCATATTGTAACACCAAATGACCAAACGTCACTTTTGGTGGTAAATTTGTTCTGAAATTATACCTTTGGTCTCTTTTTCACCTTTTGTATTGCACATTTAGAATTTTTGTCATTGAGTTTCTTTTTCACCAACTTTGTTTCACTTGTACTCAGTCATATAAAGTTTTATGGAAGGATTCCTTAGAGGTATGGTTGTCTTCAGAGAACATACCAAAAGCAACGACTCCCAAGACATCCACCGAACAGGTAGAGCGACTGGTCCCTGTGCCTTATAATAATCGTTGCTATAAAGTTTACGAGCCATACCAAAATCAGAAATTTTTACAGTGGCATCTGCCGATACATAGCAATTACGAGCAGCTAAATCACGGTGAACAAAATGGAGTGACTCGAGATAGGACATACCCGCACCAATTTGAGTACTAATCGAGAGTAAGTTTTCCATACTGCAAAAAATTTATTGTATTTACAGCGCTCAAAAACAATTATTAGTAGACTGATATATCTGTTGAATCAGAAACTTTTATTAGAACTCAATTAAAGCAGCTTTTAAAAGTTTCTAGCTAAAACTTTTGAAACTAACTTGTAATTAATCCGTTTTTGAAGAAAGCTTCGTAGATCACCATTTTCCATATATTCAAGAATACAGCAGTACGGTTTCTCGGTGGTGCAAACTCCAACCAGTTCAACAATATTCTGATGCCTTAAACGACTTAGCACTTTTACTTCGCGCTGAAAATCCATTTCTTCCTTGGCTGTAGCATTTAGCCGTAATAGTTTTACAGCAACCTGACGCTTTTCTAACTGACATAAGTGCACCTGAAAAATTTTTATTACAAATTAGCATTACCATAGAAAATTAAATACACTCTATTTTTCCAAGAAATTTTAACCACATAAATGATCAAATTTTTCAATTTTGTGATAAGTGCCTGCTTACTTCGCCAAATTCACTTTGTCCCAATGATTTACGAAATTTTAATGCATTGAAGCTAATTTCCACCAGATTTGTTATTCCTTCAACATCGCAATAATTTTTGTACTTTGCTGATGACGACAGCGGGTT